GCTCTCAGACCTCAGCTGCTTAAGCAAAAGGAGTAGTGGATCACAGTGGTAGGTTGTCATCTTCTGTGTGGGCCAGCGATTGGAGGTAAATGTAGCACAAGTCTTGTCAGTCGGTTTTACAGCTGTTTGCTGAGTCGAGAGGAATGATTACTCTGGAATCCTGCTTTCTGTTCCATATTCTGAGAGGACGTTTGCGGCTCCAGACACTTCTGCTCTGACCCCTTCAGCCTGTCCTTATCCCAGTGCCCCCCCCCCCACACATACACTTCAGTTCCACATCTCAGTATTTTCTGGTGACCTTTATTGCAACCACTTTGCTATGATCTCCAGGCAGCCCATCTGTCCTAGCTTCAGCTCTACTGACACTATTTAGCACAGGTCAGAACCAGTGTTCCCACTAAGGTATGCGCCGGCACGGCCGCACACAAAGAATTCTGAGCCCACCCACCTCCTTTGCAGAGCCGCACAGCAGCACTCACCTTCCTGCACCTGGAAGGCAAGTGGTGTGGCTGCTGCCATGGCCAGTGCCATATGGTAGATGGGGCTGTGACCACAACCACAGCGGGAGGCGGCTGCTCTGGCTGCTGCCAGAGCCAAAGCCATGTTAGGAGGCAGCTGCCGGCTGGGCCGAGGCCACGGGGCGGGTGGCTGCTGCTGCCTGGGATTGGGGCCTTGAGGCTGGCAGGCGGCTGATTCTGCTGGGAGTTGGGACCGTGGGGCTGGTGGGGGGAGCAATGGGAGGAGTGGAGGAGGAAACGGGGGTGCTAGCTCTGTAACAGGGTAGAAAATGGGTCAGGAGCATCTGCACATGAAGTGGGGCTTTCTTCCATAACAATTTTATATATATTTTGTGTGTGTGTGTGTGTGTGTGTATAATATATATATATATATATTTAAAAATTGTTATGGAAGAAAGCCTGTGCAGATGCATTAGCTCCTGCCCCGTCTTCTTCCTGTTATATAGCTAGTACTAACAATATATATACTGTTAGTAACTGATGAGTGCCAGGGTAGCACACATCCGAACATGCACACGTGACGTCAATATTAGCACACAAAACAAAACTCACTCCAGTCACAGATGGAAAATCTTAGGGGGACACTGGTCAGAGCCCCCTTGCTTCCCTTCTCTCCTGTCCTTTCCTCTACCCCCCAAATGTGTATCAGTGAATAAAGGAGTTTGCAGTTTGCTTCAGTGGCTTATCACAATGGTTGCAGCTTCTTATCCAGGCAGCCCTGCTTGCCAAACTATGCTCCTGCCTTTCCCCATTCCCTGATGGCAGACTGGACTCCCAGCTCTGGCTGCTTTTGGTCTTGCTGCCCGGCTTTTGCAGAACAACAGGAGAGGTATGCGTTAGAATCCAGTTTTGGGGAAAACACTGGCGAACACTGGGAAGACAATGCAGGTGAGATTCAGAAAATAATATGGCCGGTGCCTGGCTGCAGCAAAGTGGAAGATTTTATAGTAAAAATAGGCAATTCTTTGATATTTTGGAAAAATGTGTAATTTTGCAGTGATGGTATTAAAGAGTCCACAGGCCCATGATTTCAATGAAATCATACCCTTCCAAGTTATTGTTTCAGACTTTCTGTAGATGCAGAAAGAGACCACTGCATAAGTTCATGCTTTCAGGATTTTCTTCACAGCAGCCAAAATCAAAAAATTGTTCTAGGGTATGTCTAGATTGTCTTCCTCTGTCGGCAGAGGGATGGAAAATAGGCAGGTGGACATTGCAAATGAAGCAGGGATTTAAATATCCCGCGCTTAATTTGCATAAAAATGGCCGCCATTTTTGCTGACTCAGCACTTTGTCAGCAAAAAGCGGCAGTCTAGAGGGGGATCTGTCGAGAAAGAAAGCCTTTTTTGACAGATCCTGTAAACCTTCTTGTAGGAGGCATAAGGAATCTGTCGAAAAAGGCTCTCTTTCTCGACAGATCCCCTTCTAGCCTGCCGCTTTTTGCCGACAAAGCGCTGAGTCGGCAAAAACAGCAGCCATTTTATTTATACGGGATATTTAAATCCCTGCTTCATTTGCAATGTCCACCTGCCTATTTTCCATCCCTCTGCCGACAGAGGAAGACAATCTAGACATACCCTAGAACAATTTTTTGATTTTTACAAAAAGGAGGAGATTCAATTAGAATCCAATTTAGCAGCCAATTGTGTATTCTGCAGCAAATTCTACAGCTGTTGAGTATACTAGACCTTATTTATAATTATGCATACTAATAAACAGGTTTATTGAATTGCAAAAGCAAAGCAGATCTAACATTATAACTATATGGTATAGCACCAATTTCAGAAGCCTGGAACTAATTTGTTGTTCATGATCCCAATCAAAATGTATTCCTGTGTCTGCTGTGTTTCCCAGAATGCTGCATGGCAACTCATATTTTGATATATTATTAGAAAAAATGGTTAATCATATTCTGTGTGGTAGTTATATAGAAACCAGAAAAAAAACCCTAAATTTTGTATCTCTGGGGTGTATATAAATGAACGGATTAAATATGTATTAGCAGGATTAGGAATTGTTCTCAATGAGTGTCTACAAACCTAAGGCCAGCTTCATGGGAAATGGGGGCTCAGTCCTGTAGGGAATGGACAGGCTACAGCCAAGACTCTGAAACTGGCACCTGCAGAGAGTTTGACCACATGCTGATGTCTTCTCTTCTCTCCAGTTGCACAACTGCATTCAAGGACAGCTCAAAATATGTAATAGAATTGCCTAATAGCGCTTCTCTGTGTAATCACCTGCTTTTGACACATGGAAGCTATGTATTTGGTTCCTGTACACAGTGTGTCTTAACACGTGGTTCATGCTGTGAAATAGTTTGATAACTACTGGGCTGAAGGGTAGATGCAAATGTAAGTATCTGCTAAGGGAGCAGAGAGCTCCTCATCCAAAATATAGGGATAAAGACAATCTCAGCAACTGCTTAGAGCTCCAGCTTATGGCACAGCTCATGGGGAAGTAGCAGGAGGCTTAACATGAGGATTCCTTTATTAGTGTCCCCTTGCTCAATGACAGAGGAGGCGTTAAAAATGCTGATGCTAATGGCTCCTCTTACTTTTGTGATATGTTTGTTTTTGTGTTCTCATATGTTCCCACTGTGGTTCCTAAAGGTATTCTTATACCCACACCAGCTGCACCTTGGATAATGGTCAGAATTGGATTGTAACGCCTTTCAAACTGTATGCTTATTTGAGAATGGTTTACCTTACCAAAGTGGTTCAGAATGTGGCTTTGTTAGCTGATAGGCCTTCTGAGTTTTGCACTGACCTTGCTTGAATCCTGCAGCAGAGCATACACTGGCAAAAAGGGCTGCACAATGAGAGTTACAGCAAGTTTTATGGAGCAGTAGGACAGCCGTGCATCTAATTTACATGCATGGAATGCAGGCATCAGCATGAGAGCCAAGATTTTCATAAGTCACCAGAGATGCTGTGTGTCTAATTTTGACTGCCAATATTGAGACAACTTAAAGGGGCCTAATTTTCCGAAAGTGGCCCCCTCAGTTGTTTCAGGTTAGATATATAAGGATGCCGGCACTCAAGATTAGGAATGTCTTTTGAAAATCTTGGTTTAGCTTCTGACATCTCCCTCCCGCTAGTTGAGCCCATTTTGGCCACTCAGCATCCCTTATAATTTTTGTGCAGCTGGAAAAGGCAGCAACCGTGCCTTAGTATGATGGATCTCAAAGTGCACCCTGCTGAGTACTCTCAGAGTTGCTTAGGAGTCTGAATGCTGTACAGTACTGCTCAACCATCTCCAAGATTGTCTGCAAGCATGAGCCCTGCATGAACATTGTGGTTAACTATGTTCATTGCAAAAGGGGCTGTTGGGAGATAATCATAAAAAAGTAAGAAGTAATTATCAGACAGAATAACATGTTCATTGAGCGTAGCTCGTTTTACTTCACTCCTGCACACTCAACAGTGATTTATTCATTTACCATTTGGACTCCAGCCCTGATTCATGGTCTTCTTCCCCTCCTGTACACTTCCATGGCTTCAGGAGCAGGTCCTTGCTGTATTAACAGACTTTGGATGCATTGGTAAAAGTAAGATTTTTTCTTGCAGGTTGAAATATCAGTTGTTGTGCATGCACTGTCACTAATTTTTAGAAGTTTTAATACTCTTATTGTAAGAAGACTGTTAGCCCCTTACTAAAACTCAGTGGGAGTTTTTGATTGGCCAGCTCCTAGTACCAAAAGGGGAAGAGTCCATGAGAAATCAGGACCCTGAGACGGACAGACCCCAAAGACAATGGAAAGCAGCCAACACTCCAGTTAAGCCTGATTGACAGGTTGGACTGGACAGTGAGGAAATTAAGAGGCCAGGTCCCATCCTCCGTGTGATTTTCTGGGTCTCTCTGAGAGAAAGCAGAGAGAGCTAAGAAGAGCAAGCTGTATGGAGAGACAGACCTGCAGTGCCAGAGTCCAAGGAGCCCAGACCCTGTGCTAAGGGGCAGTCCTGCAGCAACAGAGCCAGGCACACACAGCCCAAGAAGCGCAGACCCTGTGTTGAGCAGCAGACTTACACTGCTCAGAGAGCCAAAGGGGACAGAGAAGCAACACAAGGAGCTGGAGACTGGCAGAGCAGCACAGTCTGCAGCTGGGTGTGGTGAGCAGCTGGGACCAGCAAAGTGGGGACCAGCAAAGGGGGGGAAGGGGCTCGGGGCAGGGAGACCCCCCCAGCCAAGAGGCCCTGCAGGCCAGACTGGCAGAGGGGTCCTGCCACCTAGAGCCTGAGGCCGTGTGGTCACTGCCAGAGCAAGCGTGTCCAGCCTGCAGCCCCCCTACAGCACGGCCAGGGCCTGAGAGAGAGCCCTAGGAACCTATAAGGAACAGACTGTGAACTGTCCTTACACTCTGCAGACTACTGTTTGTGATGTCCCCATGCTACAGAGCAGGACTGTGTGTTCTCATTTAACCTTTCTCATTTTTTCTTATTCTTTTCTCTGTAACCAGTTGATATTTAATAAATTGTATTTGCTTTGAACTGTATGAAATGATCACTGGGTGAAGAAAGCATGCAGTGTGCAGAGAGCACCCTGGAGTGGGGACATCCTAGCCTCTGCCCCAAGTGACTACAAGGTCGGGGATTAAGCCCCAGGAAACCTGGGCCCAGCCTTGTTGGGATTTCGAGGACTCTGCTACTCAGGAAAGTGGAAGGGGAGCCCTCAGGGTCAGGGAGGCCGTTGGGTAAAGGAAGTGGGAGCGGGGACTCAGATCCTTTCGTTGGTCCATTTCACTGGGGTAATATAGAAGCCAGGAAAGTTCCCCACAAAAGCAGGACCATTCCCCCGCTTACATTATGGTCGGCTTTGGCTACGTCTACACTGGCCCCTTTTCCGGGAGGGGCATGTAAATTTCACTAGTCGTCGTAGGGAAATCCGCGGGGGATTTAAATATCCCCCGCGGCATTTAAATAAAAATGTCCGCCGCTTTTTTCCGGCTTTTAAAAAAGCCGGAAAAGAGCGTCTAGACTGGCCCCGATCCTCCGGAAAAAGTGCCCTTTTCTGGAGGCTCTTATTCTTACTTCAAGAAAGGATTTCCCTACGACGACTAGTGAAATTTACATGCCCCTTCCGGAAAAGGGGCCAGTGTAGACGTAGCCGTCCTGTTAATGTTAGTGGAAGAACTCTGGCATAAGACCTGCCTTATACGAGACCTTATGCCCCTTACATACTTGAACTGTGGACACACCACACTATAGCTATATCTGGCCATTGGAAGGTTTCCCATATGCTTACAGGGAGATGGTTGAAAAGCTACTACCATTTCATTGTATCCCCAGTAATGTGCTGAGATTTTCTATTACCTTTCCTTAAGAAAATTCACTGTCAAAAGCTACAGGAAAAGTATGTTAAAATTATGTCTTATATCAGTATAAAGATGGAAATGTACTACCAAGGCTCCAACCTCCAATATGTAGATGCTGGCAGACATCAGATTAATTTTCCTCTAGTGCACCCCATTATGGCTAGTTACTGGAGAGCACTAGACTTCCAGTCCTTTTGTGGTTCAAATCATAATCATAATATTCTTTGAAAATTGTACAAATACACTGCACTAGTATCTGTGTACACAAAAGGAGATATTTATACATACAGGAGGTTTTGTATAATACAATTTCTTTTTATATCATATGTCTTATACATTTATTCATATAGGAAAATAACATAATTGCCTGGCAAAGCTAGCTTTGTTGACAGTGCCCCCAAATATAAATAGGAGAAATGTTTCACAAGCCATATTCAGGACAGTGTGAATATGAGACCTAACTTGTGACACATGTCAGGCTCAGAAAGATAGCATATTTTCTGGTTTTTTAAAGATTCAAACACAACTTTTCACATTCTTCTTTGAAAAAATTACATTTCAAGTCCTTTTTCACCCAAACACATTTTCAGATAAGAGCACACAAGTCTTGACATTATTTCATTTTGTTATGCGCATCTGTCAAGGAACAGAGATATGATACAGCTACTAAAAACTGATGATTGTGGAACAGTGAAACTTGACAGCATTTCATTTCCTTTATGTTCTGATTATACATTTATCAGGAAACCTGTATCTCTTCTAGTTCAGCTAGAAATTGGTAGAATTCAAGAACTCAAAGGCTTGGCAAAGAACTGTCCTATTATTTGGTATCATCTTACATTTTAGAGAAGTTGCTTGGTTGAGTCATTGTTAAGGCTTTTGCTTCTCCTTTCATTATTGTGGTACACTATCCAGAGATCACATTTCTATAGGCCTATAACTGCTCTGCAGCACAAATTAAACGCTGGGATATTTCATACATATACTGTGAAGTTTCAATGGTTGTCAATCATAGTTTGTAAAATATAAGGATTACAACCTGATATTAACATCCAAATCCATTGTGTTCATTTTATGTGTGAAAATGAGAAACCCTTGTGCAGAATCTAGATTTCCCAGCCTCTTTGTCACCTCCTGTTTTTAATTTATCTCCATGTTTTGAGCCAGTAAAATAATTTTACTTATCTGTTTAATGCAAAGTGATAAAATATATCTGTAGATCTGAATTATCAGAACTCGAGTGGATCTACAGGTCATGTGAGGATTCAGTTACACATCATTCTGATCAGAAAGCAAGATTAGAGAGTATTTTACTAATTCCTTAGTGAATGAGGAGCTGTTTCTTGAAATTTGTTAAACTAAAGTTCTTATTCAGTTTCCTTAAGGAAATGAATTTCTGTACTTACATTGCATTAACCTGGAGAAAGATATCTTTTAAAACTAAAAAATGTTTAACATTGGTGGGTAAAATTAATCAGTGTATGGATTTTTTTTTTTTAGGTCTACTTCAGTAAAACTTACCCAGAAGTTATTCAGAATGGTCAAGTTGTCATAGATTCTTCAATAGACGCTTCCTCAGGATTAATAATTTCTGAAACTGCACTGTGATCCAACGTAGCCATGATAGCTTTCTATAGACTGCAAGCCTGAAACCATCTAAACTGGATGACTGACAATGTTTAGAGGGGAGCTTTTTGTACTAGACTACAATCATATTTAATATTTTTTAAAGTTGCATATATCAATCTTTAATTTCAGGACAATGCATCATTTTCATCTCAAGAAATTTCCATTCCTAAAGGAATTAGGTAGACTAGATTTTATTTGAAAATTAAATTCTAGAGACTCTCATATTTAAATCAGAGGTGCATGTTTAAAGGTTTTAAGAAAAGCTGGAGTTTCTCTATTTTCCCATGTGGAAAGTATGTAAAAACAATTTGTGTAGTGTCACTTTAAAATGACAAGTTTGTCTTATAGCAGTTTTAATAATGTAATACGCCGTTTTCCAATGTAGTACTTTTTACATACTCAGTCTTTTCAAAGCAATTTAAAAAAATATGCAGAGACAAGAATGCATTTTTATAGAGATTAGTTAATATACTGTTATAAATACTAATTTTAAATTGAAAATGTAATACAGGTATACTGTGTAGAAATGAATGTAAAAATTGCGGTTTTCCTTTGCTGAGAACCAAATGCTGTAAAATCAATATCAATCTGCTGTGTTTTAGAAGAAAATGATTGCATTTTGCATATATTTTGTACTGCACAAATATTTAAATAATTTAACATACATTCCTCTTTTTATCCAGCTAACCAAAGAAAAAAGTATTAAAATAACTAGAGGAAATACTTGATTGAAAGATGTGTCATCAGTAAATACTATGTAGTGGAAAGTTATCTTCAGCAAAACACATTGTGGAATGTATATATTTTTTGCATGTATTGTGCCTTAATACAATTCAAGCCAAATCTACACCTGCAGTATGCACAACAAATTCATTAAATATAATTTTTTATTTTACTGTTTTAAATTAATGTATTTAAAACATTTGCATCAGGAATTCTGTTTAACTGAAGTTTTGTGAAGTTGCCCTTTCAATTCTCATAGGTAGAAAAGTGTCACTTGTAATTTTGAATGCCCGTAGTTATACTGAGAAAAACTTTGGGAAAGAGAACTGTGTTCATAAGTTAGGCCCTGATCCAGCTAGGATAAATAAAAAAAATTAAACAAGTACTTTGCTATATCCTGTTCTTTTTTTTTTTTAAGTAGAGATATCAACAATTTAAGATTCAGTGAAGTGTAAGCCTATTCACCTTAAAGGGTGTGTTCCCAGCAATAAAGAACAGGGACCGAAGAACAGCAAACAATGAAAAACATTGAAAAGAAAGTTGTGCTTTATAAAATACTGTAGAAGATAGTTAAATTGATAGATATTATTTTCCCAGAGAAGAAAGTTAATTAATTACAGGAAACTCCAACTTTTAATCTTATTTCAAGCAGCAGTACCAGCAAAAATCTGATTTAAGTTCAAAATTCTCCTCTGTCCATTAGTAAGTTAATTATTATCAAACTCTTTCTCACAAACAAAGGCTGAGTAGAGGGGCTTTGCTCTATAGAAACCCAGTCCTGTACTGACAAGGCTGAAGGACAGAGTCTTCATTCCTACTCTGCAGTAGTTTTTATGCAACAGGGTTTGTTAGAGAAGGGGAAAGACTGCGAATGTGTCCTGTCAGCCACATTCTTACATGGCCACTTACGCCAAGGTACAAAATAGAGACCAGCTGCTACAGAACTCTGCTCTGTGACATGCAAAGGCTTGCGGGCTCTTTGTGGTTTGGGCCATTTACACAGCAGAAAAGATCCATTTCTGCTGAATTTGGTTTTGATTTGCTCATCTCTCAGGTGTGGCATCTGGCTCCTATTAAGATTCTTGTATGGTTATCATAAAGTTCCAAAATAAAATACTTTGGTGCGTGGGTTGGTTCTGACACCTTTTCTCTTGATGAGTAACACCTTACTCTACAATTACTCCCATTAAAGTCAATAGGGAACATTTCATAGGGTGCTATTTAACATAAGGGTCTCACTTTCTGGCCCTTTTGTTGGGTTGAGTCTAACCTCACCTAGCCCTGTTTTACAGTGGTGCAATTCCATCTTGAATGGATTTACTTCTTAAGTTAAAAAAACCCACCAAGATAAGAGGAGAATTACAGACTGTGTGTAATATGCTGGAGTTTTAAACATTCTAAAAAAGTGCAGACATCTGGCTATATTGTACTATGAATCTATGCCCATAATTTTCCATCAATAAAATGGAGAACTATATGCATGGACTATGTGCCTATGTGGCAATAGGCCATTTCAGCCAAAATGCTTCTAGAGTAGCTGGCTCGCTGGCATGAAAGCTAGGCAGGTCTTGATATTTCAGACCTTAAACCAGCATACTTTACTTACCAGAATTAATTTGATACTGTAGCTTTTTAAATGCACACAAAAATGTTAGGCATCTATGAGAATGCTGATTATGCTGGATAACTTGTTTTGACAGGACAGTATTACTATAGGTATCAAATATCAATGTAATAGAAATCAAACTGAAAAACTGCAAGTTGTTGAACAGGATAACTGCTACTGATATGTTCATATTTTAGTAACTTCTCTCAATGCCATTAAATACATATTATACTCTTCAAACATCTGTTTTCACTCTTTTTTTTAAAAAAAAAGCAAGACTAATTAGTTCCAATGATAAGGAAGAACTTCTGCCATTTTAACAAAAGAATGTGGATTTCTACACATTATTTAGTTTCAGTAATGTGTCATTGTTTGAGAACTTCAGCTATATCCTTGCAATTTGTATAATGACTTTTGATAGCCATTGTCATAGACGGATTTGTAGTTGATTCTATTGGATGAGGTGATGCTGTGTGAAGAAAGTGTGATGATAAAATCCTCAAAAGTATGTTTAACCCTTTTGTGATGATCACTTGCATTACTATGTGAAGGCACAAATGCAGTCCTACATTTGGAATAATTTATATTGTGGCGGTGTCCAGAATCCTCAATCAAGATCAGGGCCTTTTGTTGCCAAGCCAAGTGCTCAATAGGTCAGGCTTGCAAAAAATTATAAAAAAATTTTGAAAGTGGTTTTCTTAACCTGGGTTTGGGGCCTTTTGAAGTTGTGTTTTCCGGCTTTTCTCTGCAAACATGAGGTCTAGAACCTAAGTGTATTTAAAAAGAACCATTAAAACAGATTCTCACATAATCATGACTTGGAGCTTTAGGAAAAGTATCAAATATCATGAGAGTTGACAACACTGTAAAAAACACGTGGTCAGAAATAGTCCCTGCCTCTCAGGATTTCTAGTCTAAATGAACCAGATGGAGGAGAACAGATGTTTGCAATATTTGTTACAGCCCCGATTCCAGAAGTGTGTCCTAGGCCAGGAGGGTTTTATTAGGAAGGAGACTGGATGGAAGGGGGATGCTCAGGGCTGAGGACAGACTTTGTCAGGGCTGGGTCAGCTCCAGGCCCCCAGAAGGGGGAGGGGCTAGGGGCTAGCCTCCCCCAGCAAGCTCTTCAGCATCTCTGGGTCCATGCTGCCCAGTGTTCCAGCATTGATTTAAAAGGCCCAGGGCTCCAGTCATTGCTGAGGTAACACTGATGGTAACCGAGAGTTGCTAGGCCCCAGGGCAGCTGCACCCTGCCCCCCATCAGCTTTCTTGGGTTAACTCTTCCCCCTTCCCCTACCAGCTAAGATGCTGGGGGGGAGGCTCTTTTGTGCAATGAGTTCCCTTTGAAATGCATAAAATATAGAGAAACAGTTCAACATGTATCAGCCTCACTGAACTTACTGGAAGCACACCAGGGCGATGTCTACACTGCAGGCTTCTTGCGCAAGAACAGTTGTTCTTGCGCAAAAACTTGCGGGGCGACTACACTGGCCGCACGTTCTTGCGCAAGTACATTAACAGTAAAGCATTGGAATAGAGAGCTTCTTGTGCAAGAGTTATTCCTCTCCCCACAAGGAATGAGCCCTCTTGCACAAGAAGGCAGTGTGGGCGGGCAACAGGGGTTTCTTGAGCAAGAAAGGGGTTTCTATGACTTAAAATGGCCATCAGAGCTTTCTTGCGTGACAGAGCATCCACATGGCAGTGTGGACGTGCTCTTACACAAGAATTTTTGCACAAGAGGTCTTTTTGTGCAAACAGATCTTGCACAAGAAGCCTGCAGTGTAGACGTAGCCTTATAAAGGAAGCTGCGGCAGACACACAAAACCGTGGTTCCTCCATAGACTGCAAGAGATCACTCCAGTGGGGGTTGCCCACCACTGCAACTCTACATCAGGATGTTTGCTCTATGAATATATCAATTTGATTTAATAGTGGGCTTTAAGCAAAAAATTTGGAAGAAAGGAATTAATTCAAAATAACTTTGACACATTGGTGAATTGCTCTGAAATCAACAAGATGAAATTCATTAAAGAAAAGTGTAAAGTACTAAGGAAGGAAAAAAATAAAATGCACAAATACAAAATAGGGACTAAGGGTATGTCTACACTGCATCCCTAGTTCGAACTAGGGATGCAGTGTAGACATACCCTTAGTCCCTATTTTGTATTTGTGCATTTTATTTTTTTCCTTCCTTAGTACTTTACACTTTTCTTTAATGAATTTCATCTTGTTGATTTCAGAGCAATTCACCAATGTGTCAAAGTTATTTTGAATTAATTCCTTTCTTCCAAATTTTTTGCTTAAAGCCCACTATTAAATCAAATTGATATATTCATAGAGCAAACATCCTGATGTAGAGTTGCAGTGGTGGGCAGACTAAGGGCTTTAGTCCGAACTAACGCGTCCCGGCGCGCACTTCCTGGTTCGAATCAGCTGTGATTCGAACTAGCGCGCCGGCGAGATCATGTTAATGGAGCGCGGGATATTTAAATCCCCGCTTCATTAACTAGTTCGATTGTCTCCATTTGCATCCCTAGTTCGAACTAGGGATGCAGTGTAGACATACCCTAACTGTCTAGGCAGCAGTACTGGTGAAAAGGATGTGAAGTTTTAGTAGCCCTCAAGTTGATTATGAGTCAGTAATGTGATGCAGTGGTTAAAAATGCTGTTGTAACAACAAGGTCTAGGCAGCCCAAAGCGATAATAGGGGAAAGTGATCTGAATCTCCCCTCCGCTAATAAACCGCTTAATCAACTAACATATGCCAATTGATATATATATGTGTGTGTGTGGTGTGTGTAGAAAATTATAATTGTCACTTCAGTGCAATTGCAGCAGCATCTCACAGCAGTGCAGTTAGGCAATTGGGCACATAGAGCAACTCGTAGGCAGGTATACACTCTCCTTGAGCACCTATCATTTTCTAGGCAGGGAGAGACAATGGTGGACCCATGACGTTAATGGGATTAATTGTGAAACAATTTGAAACTGAAAAGAGAGCTCCAGTCTGGGAAACCCCACCCCTGTTCCGTGTAATCATGAATTGCCATAGATGGGGGGAAAGGAAGAAAACCCTGCAAACCCTGTTAAAATGGAAGGGATTTGAAGTAAAAGCTCTCCACAAATGAATGGCTGGCTTCTAAGCAGGGGTTTTTTTGTGTGAAGCTCTGGATCTCTTCTAGGACAGAGGACCTGCTGGAAAACTGTTCAGAGGCAATGGGTAACTTGTATTAACCGAGGGAAATCACCTTATATTGAAAGGTAACGCCTCAGATTGGGTCTTTATATTCTGTATAACTGGTATGTATTTGCTTTGCCTTACTATTGCCTCTTTGAATCTGTGAATTTTTTTTCTATTAAATAAACTTTCTGTTTGTTTCTGCCTCAAGCAGGTCTTGGTTGTGCAGACTGTGAGGAGCACGTGTGCCAGGGTGAACTGATAACTGTGGCCAGGCTTCATGCAGTGAAGGGTGTTGAAGCAGAGGGGAACAATCTGATTGTCTGTAATGAAGAACTCAGTGGGACAGATTTGGGGGCACTCAGGCTTAGAAGGGATTGTTGTGGCAATCCTATAAAAAGTGCCTAGGCTGTTGGAAGCCAGGATGGGACCTTACACTATGTGGCTGGCTACTGATGGGGGCAGAGCCATGAAGAATGACAGCATAGCTTTATGGCACCCAAGTTACATGGCAGGCAGTGACAGAACTTCTTATTTATCCCCAAAGCATTCTGCCTGTACAGCACTAAAAACTCTCTATTGTAAAAGGTAAAAAGCAACAGAAATATGGTTATTCGTTGGAAGGAGTAAAGAGTCAGGGAAAGTGAACAGCTCAGAAAGATGGACAAACTATGTGAAGAAAGGAAGCTAAAATCTAAACGCTTACAAAGCCAGAGCTGTTAACTTTGCTGTCTGAAGATAACCAGGGGCAGGAGTACTAGACCGGAAGCTAGGAACCACCAAGGTCTCTTGTTAGCGTGTGTGGGTGCCCAAAGAGACAAAGGCAGAACAGACTCGCAGAGTGAGGAAACTGCAGGACTAATAAGTGCCCAAGAGGCTTGGAAGAGGAAATCTCTCTCCTTCATCCTCGCTCTCTCTCCTTCATCCTCACTCGGAGCTGGTGTGACACTATGTGCCACAATAGCCTCGTTATATCGAATGGGATGTCTGTCATGTTAGAAAACTGGTTCTTTCATTACGTCTTCTAAAATGTGTAACTGATACTGGCTTTTAGAGGCTTGTTCTGCCAGAAATCACCATCTTGTCACTTTTTCACTCAGCATGTCGTTTGTTAAAGTGCAGGACAGGCTGGGTATAAAATTTAGTTGTGAGGCTAGCTCCTTAAGGTCAGCGCCTAACTTACAGTTGCAACAGGTGACTGACATCTGCAGGGGGGAGTACAGATTTTTCTCTCATAATAAATTATTTTAGTATGGCACCTAAATTGAGCAAGCTCCTGCATGAGAGTCCCAGTGTACTTTACAGGGGAGACTATTGTTCTTGAAGAACTGGAGTCTACCTTTTCTTCTATTCTCTGAATAGCATTTTCATCTATCTATCTATCTATCTATCTATCTATCTATCTATCTATCTATCTATCTATCTATCTATCTATCTATCTATCTATCTATCTATCTATCTATCTATCTATCTATCTATCTATCTATCTATCTATCTATCTATCTATCTATCTATCTATCTATCTATCTATCTATCTATCTATCTATCTATCTATCTATCTATCTATCTAT